ATGCGAACACTAAGATCAATTTCAGGATATACCTTATATGACCGGAAAAGAAGAGGATATAAGGAAACATGTGAAGTACAGGATGTAGTAAGGTGGGCAGGAATCAGGAGAAGAGAGTAGAGAGACCATGTCGACAGGATGCCAAACGACCGATTAGTGAAAATTGCTAAAGAGAAAAGACCCAACACGCCTCGACCGCCGGGACGACCACCTATAAGATGGTACTTCATCTGGTCAGCTGGTCTTCATCATCCCAACTGTTCTTAGGGAACCATTGAAGAAAACACAGGACTTGGTCCTCACGTAAGAAGAAGAAGAAGAATGGAGACCATCCCTCTCCATTCTTAAGTAAACATATGTAAACATATGATTTTAAATGTAAAAAGACATTGATCTTTATTTCCAAGCCAACTCTGATGCCGGGCACCTTAAAATGTATTTTGAAGTATAATATATTTTGTTATAGTGGGCCGATTTTGATGATTTTTAAGCGATATATTTAAGCTAAATTACTTGACTTTTTAGCATTTTAATAATTCTTTCTAAATTAAGAATTAAAGTTGCCATCTGTCAGTAATACGAAGGAAAAGAAAATGTTGATATTTTGGTGAAAGTTTGAAACACCCAGTGGAATACGTTAAGAGAGCAAGAAATTTAAAAATATTTTTGTTATCTAGGTACATCCTTTCTGGATAGTTTGTTTCTTGGTTCATCTCAATAGCTTTATTTTCGATGGAGATATCCGCTTTTGAAGAAGACACTAAAATTTTTTCGTAATTTTTACAATAAAACCATGCTTCTGCATTTGATCCTAGTCAAAAAACCTAGTAAATTGTGGTCCCGAAGCAAGTATTCTTGACATAAGATTTGCTTCGTTTAATCTTCTTCTTACAGTCTGTTCACTTTCATGTACAGGGTGGGCCAAATTGGTAGATTTTAAAGGGAAACACCCTTTTCTATAGGAGATAGACGAAAACTAGTATGGGTGTCCGGAGCTCAATTTTTTCAAAAACATGTTGGTGAAAACCGCATATCGTTATCTGTTACCGTCTCGGAGTTACAGGGTGTTTTTCAAAATTGTGCATTTTTAACAAATCGCTGTAAGTTTTTTGCTGTGGAAAATTTTGTATTTTTATGAAAACATTTCCAAAGCACCTTTTTACGTAGAAATTAATGGTTTAAGTATATTTTTTTTTAAATTAATAATTTGAGAATTATTAACAGGAAATTTGATTTTTTATATGGGACACCCTGTATATTTTTAATTCATTGTAAACAATTTAAAATTACTTTTCCAAAAATATAAAAGGAAACCATGTTTTTGTTAAAAGGTTTCTCATCAAAATCGGTCACCCAGAACACAATAAAAAATTGAAGTAGTTTTTTAGTGAGTATTTTGATTTTTCATAGGATATCAAACTAAAAATAGGGAATAATAATAATTATATAAATATGATTTTATACATCTTTTCACTGTATATCAGCAAAGGTTTTTTCAAGTTATTACAATATTGCAATCAAAATTATATTAAAAAAATGAAAGTGCAATATAATAAACAAAAGCGTAATAATATTACCGCAAACCCATTTCGTTTATTTTTCCACAATTATTTAAAATATTTACTCGAAAATCAGGTTACTATCAAGAGCAGCCGTTAAGAAATTCAAAATATCGAAAGCAATATGATTTTCAATAATGTCGATACCTTTTTAGCGGATTCATTTCTTGGAACTGTATTGAACAGAACTTGTATAGTCATTTTTGAGTATTCTCTGTATAGTTATACATATTTAGATATTTTAAATAGTTTTTCGTTTTTCCTTTAGTTCTTTGCTTCTGACGACTATTTGTCGGTTATGCAAATTTGCTTCACTTGTAAAAAGCCACTGAAAAGCTGGTTTCCATTTGGATTCCCTTCCAAAACAGAGGGGAAAACCAACACTTTTTCTCAGCCGTATATAATTATATCAACTTTAATTCGTAAACTCAGTTTTTTATAAACATTAGCATTTGGCATATTATACAGGGTTAATCGAGGGGTTGTTTTTTTAACCTAACTTTAAAATACCCTAGAGATCTGCACGGGCCGGGTAGCCCGAACGGGCCTGAAGCCCGGCCCGGCCCGGCCCGAACCCGGGCCTCAGGCCGGATCGGTCTCGAACTGTCAATAGGGGTCGGGCCCCGGGCCAGGCCGGTTCCGCACTTTAAAAAAACACAACTTTGCTTCTGTACATGTTCTTGAGACACCTTGTATTATAACAGGTATTTTTAGGCTATGTTTATGTTTACATTTTTTTTATTTTGCGTATACATACGTATATTTGTAATTTTATTTTGATCATTTTATTTTAATGGTTCGGGCCGGGCTGGGCCGGGCTACAAAAAATCGGCCCGTGCAGGTCTCTAAAACACCCTGTGCAATAATTTCGTGCTTTTGCGGTCTTAAAAATTAACCAAGGCATGTATTGACATGATCCAAAAAACAAAATGCTCGGGAGACATGATTCTGATCGTAAAATTATATTTTAGGACAACTTACACACGAAATTATTGCACAGGGTGTTTTAATGTTAGAGTAAAAAACAACCCCTCGATTAACCCTGTATAATATGCCAAATACTAAAGTTTATAAAAAAATGAATTTACGAATTAAAGTTAATATAATTATACAGCTTGCCAAAAAATTCATGACAATAGAGCTAAAAATAATAAAAATATAACACCGTAAATTTGACCAAAAATTTCTCCGTTGCGTTTTTTGCATCTGAGTGTATTTATGAATGATACAACTGCTTTTTAGTTTTTTAGTTAGGGTTTTAAAAATTACGAAAAACATTAGTGGAATCTCAAATAAAATAAAACATTAGTTCACGACTATACATCAAGCACTATAGTCTGTGAAACGAATAACTTTGAATTTGACAGTTCCCGCGGGCTTTTCTAGTGTTAATTTTATTAGGTTAGCAACTTGCGGCCATGCTGACGCAATGCCGTCGCTAATAGAACAGCCTCGGAACGAGATTTATGACGTCACGCTAACATAATTATTCCTTATATTTGACTATGACTGAAATCGTATTCCATAGTCAATGTAGATAGTTTTAGTGTTAAGAATAATAATTTAAAAAAATATGTGGTCATCTTTTGACAAGTGTATATTAGTTTATTAATTGCAGTAAACATTATGTGATGTGTGGTGTGAATTTATTTTATTAATCAACACATCAAGGGTGAACACATTATTGTTACTTGGGGGATTCATGTGAAATCACGTGATATTGCGAGTTGTTTCGCGCTCAAATATTCTGTTTTAACATCAATTTCGTGAGGCGTGAAAACGTGAGGGATGGAAAATGGAAGAAATTCTAATTGAAAAAGTACGTTTACACGAGGTGCTTTACAATAACCGATCAACAAATTACTCTCTTTTCAAATTAATGTCATGAACCTATTGGCTAGTTTTAATATTATCAGCAACCACAAGTAAACCACATGCGTTTTCTAAATCTTCTTCAAACTCAGAAGATGAAGATGAAGAACTATTTATTTGATTCATTATTACGTTAAGTATAGGACCTAAGTTGTTAAACTTGAGAAGAACGCTGAACGAATAACGAGAAATGGCTTTCGGTTCATAATAAAATGCGCAAAATATGAAAGAACGACGTGATACTAATGTGTTTCCTTTAAACCACACGTGAACTCACTTTTACTGTGATAGCATGTGAACTCACGTGACGTGACAGTAATGTAATTCCGCCTTTAGACACTCGCCAAATCAGTAGGCGACTGACAATGATATGGTCGAGGACCGCGGTGCGGATTCCACGTAATCAAAGTAAAAAGTCTAAAGTAAATCTCGACCAGATTAGACTTAACAGCAAAAAAGATCTTATACATTTTTACATTTACACCATATTTTTTGTATGTTGTTGGTATCATCAGCAGATGATTAAAGCGTCTACCTTACTTTAATAAAATGTATTATTTTATTATTAATTTTATTTTTGTATGTTGTTTTCCATAACAACTGTTAAAATTGCCTTGTTGTCTATCAAAAGCAACTGATAAAATAGTACTTTAACCGCAAGGGTAGATTAAATGATAAAAAATATCTATATCTATGTGGCGGATTCATCTCTCCAAAAAAATCCTTTATGGGTAAATATTTTCAGTGGCGAAATACCCCTAAAGGATTTTTTAGATTAAATGATACTTTAACAGCGAGGATAGGTTAAAAACTTCATTTCTTCTCGCACGTTTTTAATTGCTTCCATTTTTGAAAATTTTGTATTCCTTTACATAAGTTATTCGGGATTTAAATGGAAGTAGTTTGAATATGGCGTTTGTCGCCTTAGCCTGAATATCTGTTGGTAATTTACTTATTTCGTTTTGAGCCATTTCTGGCTCCAATTCAATCAGCAATCGACACAAAAGAGAATTAAAAAATATTCACTCAAAACTGACAACTAAAGAGACAGCTTTATTTATTTGTCAAATTACATAGAAACCAATGCCAACCCAGCACAATATTTTTTCTACTCGTAATAAATTCCTTGAAATAATAATTTCTGAATATTTTTTAAAACGTAACTCGCTATGGAAAAAAAAATATTGTTTTATACACGACTATAAAATTGCATTATCGTCTCCCGAAATTAAATCACTCGCGATTTCATCGCTCGTGAATTAATCTTTTCCCCCCGGTCGACGATAAAATACCATTTTATCGTCTTGTATAAAAAATAACTATTAATCTTAAGAATTATATTAATTTAATTCTCATTTTATGTTAAACATATTTGTTTTATTACTGTGTAATATTACGACAAATCAATAACGAATTAATACGTATACGTAACGCAGAAAACAGAAATGTAAATAAGCGAAATTCATTCATATCCGAGTGTTTTCTGCTAGCGATTTTTTCACGAGTATGTGGTACTCCTACCACAAGTACCATTAACCATCCCGTCTGGTACCGGGTCTGCAGATCAAAGAGCTGATGGAATCAGTTACCGAATTGCGGTGCACGCAAATCTAACGGTGCCAAGTCTGGTTTGTACGCGGGTTTACGCGGTCGGCTGGTACGTTTTCGCGTGAGAACCCCGGACAGAATTACTGAGGTAAGTAAATAATTTCATAATTTAATATTATATTTACGCTGACAATAGAAATAAGAGAAAAAGAAACGTTTTGTTTCTACGAAATCGGTTTGTCCTTTTAAAACGTTGCACCAAGAATGTCCTGGTTTTTGTTTTTTGGTGGTATACAAATCTGCAAAGCGTGGAATTTGCAATAAAAACATAATTTCAGAGTCATTTTATTAATTTTGTAAAAATATATCTAAGTAAAATTGAGCATTCGTATTCAATAACAGTGAGTCCCGGTGGGACCCTCCACAGTTCCACAGTGACCGCGAGGGTCTACTGTGGCTCAGTTTCTCCTCAGATGCAAAAAAAAACGCAACGGACAAATTTTTGGTCAAATTTAAAGTGTTATATTTTTGTTATTTTTAGCCCTATTTTCATGATTTTTTTAGCAAGCTGTATATAGTTATATTAACTTTAATTTGTAAACTCAGTTTTTTATAAAATTTAGTGTTTGGCATATTATACAGGGTTAATCGAGGGGTTGTTTTTTATCCTAACTTTGACACACCCTGTGCAATAGTTTCGTGTGTAAATTTTCCTAATATATAATTTTAGGGTCAGAACCATGTCTCCTGAGCATTTCGTATTTTGGATCATGTTAATACATGCCTTGGTTAATTTTTAAGAGCAAAATGAACTTTTTGATTTTTTTTTTCAATATTGCAAGGCATGCAATATTGCATGCTACTATAAACTGCCCATCATGTTCGATGTTTGGGAAATGCTTCGCAAGAGGCTTAGAGGTCGCAAAGCGTTACCAGCTTCATTAAATAAACTACGCTTGATCCTTAAAGAAGAATGGGAAAACATAACGCAATATGATATATGCAGTCTCAATGACAGTATGAACAAACGTATACAGGCAGTTATAGCAGCCAGAGGAGGCAATACAAAGCATTAGGGTATTTTTTACAATTTTTTTTCTGTTTGTATACTTCAGTATTTTAGTTTGTATACTAGTTACTTTGTATAATACAGATGTTTTCCTTAATAACGTCAGTTCTGTTATCGTTATTAATGTTTATTAAAACTAGTTTCGCTCTTAAAAATTAACCAAAGCGTGCATTGACGTGATCCAAAAAACAAAATGCTCCGGAGACATGGTTCTTACCTTAAAATTATATTTTAGGAAAATTTACACACGAAATTATTACACAGGGTGTTTTAAAGTTAGAATAAAAAAACAACCCTTCGATTAACCCTGTATAATATTGCAATTACTAAAGTTTACAAAAAACTGAGTTTACGAATTAAAGTTGATATAATTATATATAGTTTGTTAAAAAATTCATGCAAATAGGGCTAAAAATAACAAAAATATAACACTTTAAATTTGACCAAAAAAAGAGTTTTGAAAAATGTCTCATTTTTACACCACTTGACCCCCTATACTCTGAATTCAGATTAAATAATTGAAAAAAGTGGGACTGAAAAGAGTGGGATTTGAAATTATTTTAAATAATAATTAAATAGTGTTGTTATTGTTAAGGTACCTGAAACAAAAAAAGTATCAAGTGTGTCATATCATTGTACTCAGGAGATCGAGTTTTTTCAAAACTTTAAATAAAAAATGCAGGTCCGTATTTAAAAAAATTCAGTTGGCTTCTGTATCTCACAAATTATCAGCTAATTTGATAATCTAAAAACACTATCAGATAGCCCTAATAAAGTAGCCATGAGAATGTGCAATTAGTTTTTTGATTTTCTAAAAAGGAACGCCAGGAAAAAATAAACTTGATTTTCAAAAAAATTCGTCTTTTCCAAAAAAACTCAACAATACTTGAAATTTTTAATTTTTTTTGTGGGCATCTTGGTGAACATCCTAAAGCGCAACTTTGCCCCAATTTAACCATCTTCGTATTTCTTACGGTTTCCGAGATACCAATGCTCGTACTTCGAATTTGTAGCACCCTGTATACTATAATCATAAGTTATTTAATTTTATGTCATTCTATTCAGAATGTCGTTTTTATCAATAAAATAAAACTATACCGAGGGTACAATTTAAAAAAAAAGTTGTAGTCATTTCCGGTTAAACAGGAAGTGACCGAAAGTAATTAAATATGTCAATCAGTCCCAATTTATGTCCATATACTCATTTACCGTATGATCGAATAAAAACGGCGTCAGCGATGGCTATGAAATGACGATCAATGACATTTCCCATATAATTTTACATATAAAATGACATAGCGATCTTCATTTCAGAGCCATCGCTGACGCTATTTTCATTCAATCATACGGTACCAAATTCGGTTTTTTCATAGACTTAAAATAAAATATTTTACGTCTATGGGTTTTTTATATCTGAAAAAATAAAAAAGTTATATACAGGGTGGCGCACCTCATTCGCTTCGGTTGATTATACAAAAACAAAAAGATGTAGAAACAACATATTTTATGGGTATATGTTGGAAGGCAATGTGCATAATTTAAAATTATTTTGAAATGTACAGGGCATATCATAATTAAGATCCACACCATAGTTATATTTGGATATCCTTAAGCATAACCCCTTGAGGCTAAAGAAGCTGTGGTTGGTTCCCTTAAAAAATAAAGTAAACTACAATAATTGTCCATCAGTCAACGAATTATCATCAAATCTGTTTAATATAGACGAGATCTAAACCACAATTATTGATCCATTGAAATGAGGTCGCCTCATGAATCAGGTCGCCAATGATCGCCTAATTCAAAAAAACCATAAGGCATGCTAAATTCATTATTTTTTTGGTAATTGATAAACGACATATTATTGCTATTTTTTCTGTGCACTCATTTACTAAACATAAAAAGTTAAAAAAGAATAAAGAAAAAAATAAAGAAATTATAAACAGAAACATGATATACACACACACGATGCAAAAAAAAATAGAAAAATAATCTTCCTTATTTTATAATGGTGCTTACCGCCAACTGACCTAAAGAGGGTTGTGATTTATTTTCATATTAAATAAAAATTATTTTTAAATGGTTGTGATATTTTTTTAGAAATAGATTTGTGGCGTCAGTAAACCTTCTATCCTTTTTTAATCTTTCTCTAATAATTAGTTTTAATTCTTGACAATTTTTATGTCAATTTTTAGTAAGTGACGCGTGAGAGTCCTCGCAAAAATTATCACCGATTGTCATTATTACGGTACTACCTAAATTCAATTATAAATAATTCATCTTTTTTTGGGTTGAGGTTTGTTAATAGAATAAATGTAGTTTTGTTTAAAACATCTTGACGTTTCACCCTTAATTTTGGGGTATTTTCAAAAGTTTTTATTGTCTAAAAAAATTATAAATAACAATATGAAAATAAACACTTAAAACATCAATACAACAAATAAACTATACAGGGTGGAACGAATTGTATTCCGGAAACTTCGGCAGCATATTCTGCAGATAAAAATAAGTAAAAAAGTTCGTATAAATGTATGTCTTAAAATGCTTAGTTTCGGAGATACAGGGTGTAAAAATTTCATTTTTATTTCGATTTTTTCCAAATAATTTCTGAAGTAACGTCAATATTTGGATGAATGGTGGATGGGTGTTTTTGACATGCGAAATTTGATTTTGATGTCAATATGACTCCTATTTGTAGGTGGCGTCACGTACATGTGTTTTAACTGTTTTGAAGAGTAATAACTTTTTGTCGGTGCCTGTATAAAACTTCTGAGTAAGAAAATATACATTTACGACTTTTTTTACATAAAAAAGGTCTCCAGTAATGGTTCTCGAGATATTTGGAATCGAAATTATCAATACCTGTCATCATTGACATAAATTAAACATGTTGACTAAATAGTAATTAGGCTGAAATCATAAATTTGAAATCTTTTTGTGTCAAAAGTTCAAAAGAAACTGTTTAATTATCATTTTTTCGCAGAAAAGCTTATGATTAATTTAAAAAAATTAAAATTTATTATTTTAGTCAGATAACTATACTTTCAACGCGTGTGCTTATTTTTTGTCAATAATGACATGTATTTACTATTTCCATTCTAAATATCTTGAGAACGGTTGCTGGTAGCGATTTTTACCAAGAGACATTTTTTAGATAAAAAGTCATGAAAATATATATTTTTTTAGTTAGTAGTTTTATACAGGTACGGTCAAAAAGTTATTACTCTTCAAAACAATTAAAACACTTGTAGGTGGCGCCCCCTACAAATAGGAGTAATTTTGACATCAAAATCAAATTTCTCGTGTCACAAGACTCCCAGATACCAATTTTCATCCAAATATTGACGTTACTTCAGAAAATATTTGGAAAAAATCGAAATAAAAATGAAACTTCTACACGCTGTATCTCCGAAACTAAGCATTTTAGGACATACATTTATACGAACTTTTTTACTTATTTTTATCTGTAGAATATGCTGCTGAAGTTTCCGGGATACAGTTCGGACCACCCTGTATACTATACAAGTGAGTCCATTAGTTAAAAATACAATTAAAATAAAACAAAGAAACATGTAATTTAAAAATTAATTTCAATTATGTAGACCTCAATATTTCTATGTTTCATCCCACATATATTTGTGCAGATTCTCTTTGAAGGTTTTTTTTAAACCATAGTCCATCCCAAATTAAATTTATATTTATTCGGCGTAACATAAACAACAAAACGTGATGTTAGTTTAGGGGTGCAGGATTTTACTCCATAAGCGTCAAACAATATTTTGTTAGTTTAATAAATTACTATTTGTTGGAAAAATGGTTGTTCCAATTTTAGATTAATTTTTCTCAAACAAATCCTAGTTTTGTAATCATAAACCCCCAGACACTGCCAGGTTATATTTTTTTAATAAATGCACATTCACTTCTTCAATTGTATTTTATTTGTCTTGTTTTGGTTTTTCCTGCAAACCTAGTTTAAATACATAATTTTAAAAATCGCCAGAATAAAGCATGAAATTTAAAAATTGCTTATTGATGACAAAAACTCTTTGCTTTTGTATATAATGAATAAAAAGAATGATAAA